CAACAGAGCTGCTTCATGGAAGAAGAACCTCAGCTTAGCCTGTTAGCTTTAGCGTTAGCGCTATATACTGTATGTATTAGGTCGGCGCTAGCGCAACAAACTAACAAGCTAAACTGAGGTCCTCCATCCATATTTTCAGTTACAGGCTGAGTCATTTCTATGTTCTCATTTAAAAGAGCCATTCGTCAGATATTGTCCAAGATTAACCTTCAGGGTGGATATAGCTCGCTCACACCGAGGACCTATCCACGTCATCATTTACCCAGAATGCTTTGTGTGTAAATAAAATGGCTCCGTCTGTGTTAAAATATATTTTAAAAAAATTACAAAACTAAACATCCCACAGTATTTTTACTGTCTTTATTTTACAGTTAAAATAAATGTTTATCAAATAAAGTCTAATGTTACAACTAATCAGGGATCCCTTTAAGAAAACCTGTTATGGCTTGAAATGAACAGAGTTCTGTCTCTTTAAAGGAGGCCTTCTGAGACCAAGGTCAAAGACAGGTGGAACTGTTTATTCCACCCCTAGGTGACCACTACAGCTGTATTATGAAAACTTAATAAATATATATAAAAAGATGGCCACCACAGTTATTCAACATTAGACAATACAAAAACGGCTAAAACCGTGTCAGTTTTATAGATACTGAGCTAAAATTTCATGTGACRGAAACAACTACAACGTCATCATTTCACAACATTTCTCGTCATTTCCCGCTTTGTTTCTGTCCGTTTTCCCACAGAAGCCGACCCAAAGCATGTCCTGCCTTACAGCCATCTGAGGAGGACTTGTGGCCAGGCGTGGCACACCATCCGCTCRCTGAAGGAAGACTGGCAGCGACTGCAGCAAGGCCAGAAAGCTGCCATGTAGGATCAAAGCTCACACTGACTCCGTCCACACGTGTCTGTTTGATGGAAACTAACAAAGAGCTTTTCCCCCTCTTTCTTTCAGCATGAGCTTGCTGAGGCACAACTCTTCACTGTCCAAACAGAAGAACGAGATGGTGTCCATGTACCAACGGCTCATAGCCAAGCTGGACTTCTTCACCACCAGCCTTCACATCGACATGGACAAATATCAGGAGCAGACGGCCACGGGGATCGGTGCGTGATGAGCAGTGGTGGGCACCAGCCRGCTAAAGCACAAATCCGCTAATTGCGGACCTAAATATTTCGTTTGCGCTTTAGCAGTCTTACTAATTTTTATAATTCATAAGTGGATTTGCACTTTCTAAAATTAAAATGCAGTTCCGCTAATAACTAATTATCTACCAGTCGTCATTAACTTGAGCAGCGGAAGGTATGGCTGTCAATGAATCACTACACACGTGGTCTATCCAACACCACCCCTCCCAGATAAACACACTTATTGGAAAGGTATACATCCTTGCTGACTGTTGCATTCGGTCACGGTTCTCATTTCCCACAATGCTTTGTGTTTGCTTACGTAGCAGGAAGGTAATAGCAAAAACAGTTAACGTTTGTAATCCATAATWAAATTTTGTATGTATTGATTTATTTTGCTATACAATCAGAGCTCCTTTAAAAAAAAAGTTTAAACGCTGYAGCTCAATACTTGACGTAATTGGTCGAAGCAATCGGCCAACGGGGTTAGAGACTCAGAAATTATTTAKAGATMTTATGCTGACGAAGACTGACATCTAGTGGTCAACTGGGCAACTACATGGAAAACTTTAAAATCTAAGCTCTTATTTTGAAGATAAGATAGTTTCCTGTACTCTGTGCTTTCGTTTCCCATCACAAATCAAATCCGTCATGTACCCAGAATGCATCGCTTTAGTTTTTCAATAAATAGTTTTAAAATTACTTTATTGATGCTTCTTTAATGAAAAATCTACAACCAACAAAAGAAAAAGACAAAGAAGCAGCCGAACTAGCAATCCTCAACAACGTTTTAAAGAATCAGCCGAACTAGCAAGCCTCAACAACGTTTTAATTTTTACGCCAGGAGCTAAAGGTCTGTTTCAGGAAATCACATCCCCAGCAATCGGTGGTTGTAGAATTAAGTTGTAAAAGAGTTTATACACCACTTGTTGGAAGTGTTGTGCATATATTTTACATGAATAGTTTCCAGCTAGTAAGTGTCAAATTGAACTTGCACTTTAAAATTAGCTTCCGCTAGTTTTTCTATGGCATAAGCGCTTTTGAAGTTGCGGACCTAAATATTTTCATAAGCGCTTTATAAATTGCGGAGCTAAATTTTGGATTAGTGCTGCCCACCACTGGTGATGAGGCAGAGAGTTTCACAGCTAGGCAGCTCAGTCAGAACTACACAAGTGTCTGTGAAGATTAATGTCTTTTAATGTTTCAGCTTCAGAGAAACTTCTGGGTGTGTGGAGGGAAATGGAGCAAACTGCTATCAGCTGTGGTCAGGTAGGCCTGAGTTTGTGCTTTTATTTAAGACGTTTCTTATAAAATAGATTAAAATGTCTGCGTGTGTGTCAAGCCCAAGGTGAGTGAACTGGAAGAGGAGATGATGAAGCTGCAGCCAGACATCGTGGATGTGCAGAGGCAGCCGTTTAGGAGCGGAGAGGCCTTGGACACCCTGTAAGTTACATTAAAAGAAGTAATTCTCTTTGAGCTCAGGCTCGGCTCACTTTTTTTTTTTTTTTTTGATCCTCAGTGAAGGAAAAGCCATGGAGCTGTTCCGCAAACTCAGGGAGAAACCTCGAGGTTTGGGCTTTTTACTATTTGTTTCTTGTGGTGTCTCGCATGGAGGGAAAAAAACCTCATGTGCCTCTGGTTTCTCTTCTTCAGACCAAAGGTGTCCAGGAGACAGTCAGGAGGTGGTGCGTCTGGTGTTTCAGAGRGTGCAGTTCTACGAGAGGAAGCTCAAAGATTTCTACACACACCTCAGGTACCACTAGACACACATACCTTACAGTAAGTTTATAAAAAAAATCTGTTAACAATCATGTATTTAATAAACCAACCTACTCAGTCACATCTCGTTTTGTTTCTCGATGCACAATCCAGTTGCAGATTTTCCTTCATAATTGTTTCTTGTAATGCGTGTCCTCAGTAAGACGGCGCTGTGTCGTCAGCGCGTGATGGAGCTGCTGCCCAAGGTGGAGGGCGTGGTCCTGAAYATGGCCGAGAGCGAACAAGTCCTGATGAGTTTGCAGGAGAGACGGCAGAGGGAGCTGTGGAACCTGCTCAAAGTCGCCTGTGTGAGGAAACACGAGCTGTTCAGASTCTCTCGTTTGAGCTCCATGTTTAAATATACATTCTGCACTCCGTTGATTAAAAAAATACAATTAATGTCCATTCAGTCAATTTTAAAATGAGCATTTTATAGAATGTCCACATGGTGCACACGCTGTAACCTGTGTGAACAAACAAGAGTAAAGCGAGTCATCTTGTTTCATGCAGAGCAAAGTTCGAAGCCCTGTGAGTGGAAGTCCTGATGGATTACGAACCCCTTCATCAGTGCCCCCGCTGCTGACCCCCAGACCCAGCCTACAACAGTTGAGTTCACTTAAACACAAAAAACAAGATCGCTCAGACCTGTTGTTTACAGGGATCCACGATTAGTTGTAACATTAGACTTTATTTGATAAACATACATTTTAACAGTAAAATAAATACTGTAAAAATACTGCAGGCTGTTCAGTTTAGTGAATTTTTAAAAATATATTTTAACATGACGGAGCCATTTTATTTACATGCAAAGCATTCTGGGTAAATGATGACATGAATAGGTCGTCGGTGCGAGGC